ACTTCAATAATATTCCTTTCTCCCTTTCTACAGTGATGCTCTGTACAAAACCAGTGGCTCTGATTCAAAACCTTTTTCAATTTGTTTTTGCAATGTGCCTACCTTACTCATTTTGTGAGCTCCTGTCTGGGAGCTACAGAAATAAGCAGCATGATGGCAGCCTGATAGCAGCTGCAGCCAGAGGCCTATTTCACAGTATAGCAGCAAGTGCATAATCCAATTGGTCACCCTTGGCCAGACTAAATCATCTTTGAACAGGAACTTCTCAGAAGAGCAGAATCAACAAAATCTTCATCACTTGCACTAATTCAGTTCACCTGTGGGCCTCACCAGGATCTCAGCTCCTTCTTGCCATCTGTCAATCTCCTCCCCTTGATAAAGAGGCTGCATATTCCAAAACTGTCCCAACCAGAGAAAAAATAACGAAACGAGGCAATCAGAAACATGCTTTGAATTGCTTTGGTGTACAACATACCTTACTGTGATCATTTAAAATCAAAGCATACTATGCACTATCTTCTACTGAGCTTCCTCCCACTTATTTCCAGTCCCATATGCTTCTGTAGATTTGATTTGTTGAAGATAACAGGAGGAGCTAGATCATCAACCCCGAACAGCTTATCCTAACCTGGGGTGTACAAGTAATACAACATTGTTCTGTCAGTGTTTCAGTTCTAGTTCAGCAAGTAATTACCAAACCTATTCTGTCTTCAGACAAAGCATAATTGAGCCCGCCAGGGATGTAGAGGTGGATGATTCTGCACACAAAATCCTTCCAGTACAATGAATCAGCACTTCCTTGTGAGACGTTTGTACGAAATTCAGTCTGGGAAGCAAAACCACTACTGATAAAGGGCTTTATCTGGAATGACCAAGCTCCCATGACACATCTGCATGCCAAGACTTTTCATTCTGACAAGATCTGACCCAACCGAAACTACATTACTGACTACTGAGTTAGAAAGGAGTAAGAAGTGCCCCTCCAAAGCCAGGTTAATGAGGAGGAAAAACAAGATGACATACACCCCAGAAGCCCTGTCGTACTGCACCTCCCTCAGCTACGTGGAATTACTCTAAAAGCTGGCTGACTGAGATGGCAGGATCACTGGGTAAAATATTGTAATGTCATGTTTAAGGGATTTTGCAGATGGATCATTTACTGTCTAACAGCAAATGGAGAGTGGGGGCAATTTTCCACTGGTGTGTTCATACTACATTAATTGCTTGCTCAGCCAGACGGGTCCCTAGCATTGTATTCACAGCTGCACTTGCCACTATGCACACCATTTGCACCATGACAGGTTACACAGCTCCTACCGGACAAAAGCAATGGTTTGTGCATACAGTATAAATCATATTTAGAGAACTAGATATAAAGTATTTACATTTATGCATGCATTGTTTACAATTTGAAATTTTGTTGAAAAAATAAAGCTGACCTCAAAGAAAAGGTTAGCACTCGGCTACTGCTGTTCTAGTCACGGACTCTACATCAATCTACAGGTCCTTCTATTCTGAATAAAAACCTATAGCATTTTTATGTAGAGAAATACACGGTTTATCAAAAGAAGAGGTATTTGGGTAAGAGAAGAAAAATGTACGAGACATTCTTTGCTAAAGTAATATGAACATCTTTTGATCCCCAAAAAATAAAAAACTAAAGATTTTATGTGAAGGCAGGGTCTGTTGTCATTAGTCATTTAATCGATTCCCATTGTAGTAAGCCAGGGCAGCTACTCACAACAGCAAAATCTGGAAGGCTTACAATGTCAAACTGAAAATAATACCAAAAGAGAAGTTTGTCAACCACATATTGTTTTAGGAGCTAGGCTAGGGGAGTGATTCATTCCGTCTAATAAGAGCAATATTGCAATGTAACCTGTCTCTGCCAAAGACTTGGTTCTATTAGATTAAGAACATAAAAAGAGAAAGATTCACGAGAGTGAGATACAAGAGATAAAATAGACAAGACTTGGAACAGCTAAGGAAGTCCTGAGAATGTGCTAGATAAATGGGCTGTCTTGTAAGAAAAAATTACTCCTCGAGTACAAAAGGAGAGTACAAGAGAGTACTTTCTATTTGAAGTTACTACTAACCCATTACATTCCTATAAAGCAAAACAGGACCCAGTATTAGTGCTCACACTGCGTGGTACCAGAAGAATCCCCATAACAGTCAACATGTTCAGACACAAGCTGGCTTCTATAGCGAAACAATGTACTAAAATGTAAAATAAGATCATTTTCTTTAGGAAGCCGCCTCCTGTTAACAGGACTGTTGAGAAGTTGTCCAGGTTTCCTAAGATCCGTAGGCACTTACTTGCAGCCTTTCTTCTTCCCACTGAACTTGCTGGGAAATTTGTCACCAGCCCGTTTCAGTGCTACTTGACTTCAGCTGAACACTACAACCCCAGTAGCGTATGGTGGAACCTCATACCTCAGGCTCACGTTCTCATCATGATAGGAACAAAGTTGATTCTTCCCTTTAATCATTACAAGTCAGCCAAAATTACCAGTAAATTATCTGCTAGTGCTTTCGATTCATCTTCAGAGGTGTCAGTTCCTTGATACAATGCTTTGTAGAAGCTCAGCACATTTCTTGGCTGTGTATCTTAATTGCTCATAAAGATTCTTAGCCGACAGTCAAGTGCTTCTAAAAAAAAGATGAAAAAAACAACCTACTACATGCTAATTCCTCAGTTTGGTTTATATTTCTAGTCAGTTCTCTCAATGTCAAGTGTTAGCCAATTATGAGATATATTGGCCTGAAGCCATCCTCTTCTTTTTAACTTACTGTGACTGCAAGGCACCAAGTTGTATGTCCCAAAGGGAAAAAGCTCAGAAAACACTGCTACAAACTATCGGCTAACAACTATCCATGTAAAAAGCACTCGCACTTTTAAAAGCATGTATTTACTTTACAGAACATGCAAAAGAGCAAAAAATTGTTAGCTTCAGTTTCTGCAGGAAACAAATTATATATCTGTTCAACAGGCATATAGCCAGATATAAAAATATAACCATGCTCTATTTGAAAACTAGTCTTGGTAGATATATATATATGCATCTCTAATAATTAATTATTTCTCCCATCAATAAAATGCTGTTTTACTCCAAATGCTGCTTACACCCCGAGCAGCAAACATGAGGAATTTTGTTTGCTTGTTGATTTGTTTTTTGGGGGGTGAAGGGTTGGCTTTTTGTTGTTTCCATTTTTTGTTGTTTTGCATATGCTGTGAATTAGAGCTGTAGTGGGTTACAGGATGGGAAAATGTGAGCTTACTGCAACTTGTTTCCAAGACCTAGGTCCAAATTTGGTTACCGTTACTACCTGCCCAAGCTTTTTGCACAAATAAACACTAAAAAGCCTTTTTTTTAAGCGGGGATTCCATCTATCCACTGAAATCCCAAATCCTTTATCCATTTATTCTACCATTTACCTCTTTTTTTCCATTAGCAATGCAGTCTACCCAAAGAACACAACAGGTAAGCTACACATTTTTAGAGGCTATTGTGAATTGTCACAGAGGACTGATTCTGCTTATCACTCAAATATTTAACACTGTGTCATGACCACCACTTAGCCACTTCCAGATAGTAGTCACCTAACGTCAGGAGCATCACAAACAGTCCATAACCAAAAGAACTGAAAAACATCCTAGTCAGGTGTTCCAGGTGGACAATTATCTTCAAATTCATTGTAAAGATCACTAAATTTTTTAATCTTTATTTTGAAACTCACTAAAATCTATATTTAGTAAATACAAGAGCAGCTTAGATGGAAATAAAGTAAATATAGTCTTGTAAAGATAATGAAACAATCAACAGAGACAGATGGTTTCCAACACGCGGGCTGAACACTTGCATCCTTATGCAGCATGCTTTGCCGTGGTCTAAGAAACTGTGCATCTGGTTGGGAGCCAGAAGTGTTCTTGCACTCTTTTTTTTTTTTGGAATTAAAAAGTAGAAACAAATAATATTGTCATCACACGCATTCTCCTAGTGGGACAGCTCCAGTGGACTCCATTAAACCTTTACATAAGCAAGGTCCAGAACAACTTCTCCTCTTCCCAAGTGCAAACTTTGTTTCTCATAGCTCCGCTGCCTTAGGCAAATGAGCGATTCCTACATTTTCTGATAACTTAAAAATGTTCTTTTGCAGATTTCCAGCAGTGTAAGCTCAGTTTTATCTCTTTGAAGAACACATGCTAGTGTAAATTTAAGAGATATGTAGGCAAAATACAGCTACTTTTTTACTTGGATTATGCAAAAACATATGTAATACAGAAAAGTTAAAGAAACAGCAACCTACTTATTCGCATCTCTCTCTGCCTCAATACCTTCACCCTTTTTCCACACAGAAATGGCTGATGAGAAGTCTTTGAGTTGACCAAATCTGGCAAGTCAGAGGACCCCTTTTTTAAGGGCTATTCTCCAAGCCATGACTCTCTTCCCCTGTCTGCTCCAAACCAATTTCCTGTAATGCCGACCCATCCCTCAAATTAAAACAGGCCCTGTGCTACACAGGCATGCTCCTGTTTCACTCTTGCCCAAAAACTTTCTCTACAAAACCCTGCAGTCTTGTCATACCTGGTAACAACATCCGATTCCTTTGTTCTACTTGGTATTGAATTTTTTGAATTTTATCATTCTTCCCTGCGCACTGAGGTTCTTTCAGCATCAATCAATTCATGATGCAAAGAATCTTTCCAGAAATCAGCGAATTGACCATTACGCAGTGTACATCATTGACTCCAGCAGGATATTCCCCGTAACAGGGGAATGATTGCTCAGTGAATCCCCCATAGTCAGTTAATTAACAGCTCCAGAAATCGGTCTAATAAATGGGTTATCCATAAAAGCCTGAATTTGTACAACTGGATCTGGCTCCAGCTGTCTCCTAGCGCTGTGAAGAAATCTTTACTTTGGGCATCTGTATAACCACACTGCCCGCATTTCTCTTTTCACAACTGACGCATTCTTCCTCTCTCTGCTGTGCAGAAGTTCACTTGAACCAGAGCAGCCCAACCAGTGAATTCCCCAGCTACGGTGAAAACGGAAATGATACCAGTTTGCTTGTTTCACCCCTTCTGGTGGCTGGAGTAGTGATCGGCCTCGTGCTATTTCTCTCCTGTGTTACAATCATTGTTGGCAGTCTGCGGAAGGACGGACGGTTAAGGCACCCACACCAGAGGAGAGACGCTGTTTATGGTAAGACAGTTATGGCAAGATAATGCTTACCTTTATTAATAACTGGTGCTAAAGGCAACACAAAACTCAACCACTCAACGGAGCCAACTAGGAAAGGTGCCCTCCTAGACCTGTTGCTAGAAAACAGAGAGGGTCTGGTGGGAGATGTGGTGATTGGTGGCCACCTCGGTCATAGCGACCATGAAGTGGTTGAGTTCAAAATTGAGTTTACGGTGACAGAAGGAAAAGTGCCACCAAAACCTCATCCCTAAATATGGGGAAAGCGGACTTCAGGCTGCTCAGGGAACTAGTCAGCAAGGTCCCCTGGGAAACTGCTCTTGAAGGCCTCGATGTCCACCAGTGCTGGTCATTCTTTAAGCAATGCCTCCTAGAAGCACAAGATCAGGCAATTCCTAAATATCGCAAGTCAGGCAGGCGCGGCAGGAGGCCTGCATGGCTGACCAGGAACATTCTAATGGAGATTAGGCGGAAACAGAGAGTGTTTCGCTACTGGAAGGAGGGCCAGGTATCATGGAAAGAATACAGGGATGCTGCTCGTGTTTGTAGGGAGAAAATTCGTGTGGCTAAAGCACACCTAGAGTTGAAGCTGGCTGTGTCTGTGAGAGAAAATAAAAAGGGTTTTTTTAGATATGTGAATGGAAAAAGGAGAACTAAAGAATACATAGGGCCGCTCCTTGATAGGGAAGGTCTTCTCACAGACAATGACATAGGCAAAGCAGAGACGCTTAACTCTTTCTTTGCCTCTGTCTTCAATGCCGATGATGGGCTTCGGGACCCAGGGTGCCCTGAGCTGGAGGACCGGGACGGTGGGGATGACAAACTCCCAACCGACCCTGAACGTGTGCGGGATTTGCTACTCCACCTGGATCCCTACAAGTCCATGGGTCCGGATGGGATTCATCCCCGGGTGCTGAAAGAGCTGGCGGACATCATCGCGGAACCTCTCTCAATTATTTTTCAACGATCCTGGGAGTCTGGAGAGGTCCCGGTAGACTGGAAGCTGGCAAATGTTGTGCCGATTTTCAAGAAGGGTCAGAAAGAAGACCCTAGCAATTACAGGCCTGTCAGTCTCACGTCAGTGCCTGGTAAAATCATGGAGAAGATGGTTCTCGAACGTATTGAGGCGCACCTGGGGGACAAAGCAGTCATTGGTCCCAGCCAGCATGGGTTTGTGAAGGGTAGGTCCTGCCTAACTAACCTGATTTCCTTTTATGATAAGATCACCCGTATGGTGGACCAAGGGAAACCAGCTGATGTGATTTTTTTGGACTTCAGCAAGGCTTTTGACACGGTTTCCCATAGGATCCTACTGGACAAAATGTCCACCATACAGCTAAATAAAAACATCATACGATGGGTGAGCAATTGGATAATGGGCAGGGCCCAAAGGGTTATGGTGAATGGCGCTGCGTCAGGCTGGCGGGCGGTCACCAGTGGGGTCCCTCAAGGCTCCATTTTAGGGCCAGTAATTTTCAATATTTTTATAAACGATCTGGATGTAGGAATAGAAGGTATTTTGAGCAAGTTTGCTGATGACACCAAACTTGGAGGAGTTGTGGACTCGAATGAGGGTGGAAAGGCCTTGCAGAGGGATCTGGATAGGTTGGAGAGCTGGGCGATCACCAACCGCATGAAGTTCAGTAAGAGCAAGTGCCGGGTCCTGCACCTGGGACGGGGAAACCCCGGCTGCACGTACAGACTGGGCGATGAGACGCTGGAGAGCAGCCTAGAAGAGAGGGATCTGGGGGTCGTGGTAGACAACAAGTTGAATATGAGCCGGCAGTGTGCCCTGGCAGCCAGGAGGGCCAACCGTGTCCTGGGGTGCATCAAGCACGGCATCGCTAGTAGGTCGAGGGAGGTGATTGTCCCGCTCTACTCTGCGCTGGTGCGGCCTCACCTTGAGTACTGTGTGCAGTTCTGGGCACCACAGTATAAAAAGGACATGAAACTGTTGGAGAGTGTCCAGAGGAGGGCTACGAAGATGGTGAAAGGCCTGGAGGGGAAGACGTACGAGGAACAGCTGAGGGCACTGGGCCTGTTCAGCCTGGAGAAGAGGAGGTTGAGGGGAGACCTCATCGCAGTCTACAACTTCCTCGTAAGGGGGTGTCGAGAGGCAGGAGACCTTTTCTCCATTAACACCAGTGACAGGACCCGCGGGAACGGGGTTAAGCTGAGGCAGGGGAAATTTAGGCTTGACATCAGGAGGAAGTTCTTCACAGAGAGGGTGGTTGCACACTGAAACAGGCTCCCCAGGGAAGTGGTCACTGCACCGAGCCTGTCTGAATTTAAGAAGAGATTGGACTGTGCACTTAGTCACATGGTCTGAACTTTTGGGTAGACCTGTGCGGTGTCAAGAGTTGGACTTGATGATCCTTAAGGGTCCCTTCCAACTCAGGATATTCTATGATTCTATGATTCTATGATTCACTTTGGAAGGGATAAAAAAAAGTGAGTAAACAGTTGTGAGGAGCAGGTGCCAGGCAGCTTTGCAGTCCAGTACCATCTTTGTGCTGGCCCTCAACTGATGCAGCACAAGCCCCCCAGCTGCCGGTTAACATGAACGAGGCCAATGCCAACAGCATTTCTTAAACAGCATATTTTTCCTTGATACACTGCATGATTTTTTCTCCATCACTGGACTCCTGAGAGTTTATTTTCATATCCCTTTACAGCCTTGGTACAGAATATAAGGTAATTTTGCTTTGTTGGAAAGCCAGTACTCCCTCACTTGTGCAATGTGCACCAAGCTACACCAGTGACTTGGCAATTACCTCCTTTCTTACCACAGAAGTTCAATCTGAGTATAAAGAGAACAGAGCATCAAAATATCATTACACAGACAATTGCCATCATCATTAAAGAGACTTGTTTACTATTAAATAAGACTTCTTTTTTTCCACAACAAAAATCCTCCATACTTCAAAGAGGATTTGGGAATATGAAAGTGCAATTTTGTATTTTGGAGCCATGTGGGGTTTGCTGACTGAAGTTAAACCAGAGTCAAGAAAATGACAGAATCAGATTTTTCTATATTTAAGAGAAAAGAGTTACAAGAAGTTACTTTGTAAGCATTCAGCTAGTAAAAAAAAAAAAAAAAAGGTAAATGGATTCACGAGTGGAGCCTCAACAGTTTTTATTATCTATGGCTTTGCTCTTCTATCTGCAGCACGTTATAAGCACTCTTATTTGCATATCTTTTAATTTTCTTCTTTACATAGAGAAGACAACAATACCATGCTGTTTTAAAATGCATTGCATCAGATCTTGATTTCACTGGGGTAAATCAACTTTCCACTGAACTCAATGGGACTCAGAGCAGGCTTTTTCGTTTCTAAAAGAAACATTTTCTAGGATCAGTATGTCCACCCAAAGTCAGGAATTATTATTTTTTTTTTCTTTTTACTTTTTTCAGAAATATTTACCCAGATATATGAGTAATGTCTGTGTTTTGAGACTGAAGTTTAAACCCCAAAAGAAGTGAAATGCCAACTCCAACAGTAACATACTGGGGAGAGGAAGCAAACAAATAAAAAAGAATCCCCACAACTCTACTATTTTTGTAACATCTTTTTGTCCTATTTTTCAGCATCTAAACTTGGGATTAAATAGTTAAACACAAAGTGGAGTTAGTTTTACTCATGAGCAGCAATATTTTGGCATGACAACATACCGAACACTGGGATCCAATCGCTACATTTAAATTTGCTGCTATGTTAATTTCACCACCTTTAAAGTCCCTGAAGTCAGGCCAAAAGGTAAAGGACCATTTTCAAACTGCTTCTTAGAAATAACAATACCACAGAAATGAAAAAAAGAAAAGCATGGTGACATTTTCAGAGATATTCAAAAGAATAATCTTAAACTAAATTCTGCCAGTCTGCCTAAAAGACAATTTTCCATTAGCACACACCATGCTAGTGTCTCAGCACGCGTCCCCTGGCCAGAATGGGAATCAGCGGGAATCGCTGTGAAGCTGGCTCCCTTCATTTGTCAAGCAAAAGGAATGCACAGTGCATGATAGACTCGATTAGCCCCAGTAGAATTCCTCGAGCATAAATTGGCAGAGGCGAAAATTGCCAGAAGGAGGAAAAGCCAGCCCAAGGACGGCAGGAGCGAGTCCTGCCCTTTGCACTCTGCTCAAGAAGCGCTGCTCTGATGGCACTTGAGAAGTTGGCCCTGTCTCCAGGTGCCATTTTAAAGCACTGACGGAAGAGGACGGCTCGCTGTATACAAATGAGTGGGGGATTTGGGAATTGCCTTATTTCCACAATTCAGGACATTCTAACAGAAATTGATGTTGGCTGTCACACATTAAGCATCATCACAGATGCGCACACAATAGCACTAGCTGCTTGGCATTTCTAGAGCTATGACACTCTTGTGTGAAAGTATTAAGAAATCCCTGGGTCAGGTAGCAGGATAGTTTTTTCTACTATTTGCCATTTTTTCCTCTTTTTCTGTGAGCATATTTAATAAGAACAGCACTTCCTTAAGACAGGTATACTTACAATCAAACACCTAAGTCTGCTTTTAAACAGCATCACAGCACTGGCCAGGCTACGATGTACACAGCTCCTGGCAAATTCAGCAATCTTGCCAGTGCTTGAAGTTGCATGCGGCTTACACTCCTTCAAGGCACAACAAGAACTTTAGACACCAGCGTCTCTTAGGATAGTGCTAAATACACGGTCCCTGTGCCACAACCCAAAACGCTGCCATTCACCCACAGGTAACAGAGGCTTGCTCTAAAAGGAACAGAAATGTCCTGTGAAAGTTGATTGCTCAGAGTAACAGCAATTCTGCCTCAGATAGGTTTTATTTTCTGATTTACGGATGTGTTATAAACACTGACATGACACTGTCTCAGAGAATCCATCATGTAGGGGAAAAAAGCAAGAATTATCTGCTTGTTTTCCAGCTCCGGATGGCTTCTCTTACGGTGGCTCTTTTGGGGAGCTGAGATCCACCTGCATGGAGGAGTTCCCCCCAGCTTTTGATTTTGGTTCCTATCTGGATACGCTTTCTCAGGTCAACATCATGTATCCCGACTCACCTCCACGGTAAGTGCTCTTCTGAGATTCTGTGTTTTATAGACCTGTACTTGAAAAGCCTGTTGAGAAGGAAACTAAAATTGCTAGACCTAAATCCACTACAAAAACACAGATCATACAGATGCTAGATACAAACAGACTATTAATGTTTTTTGAAGAAATTATTTTGAAAGTCAAAGGTTCACTACTTCAGGAAAAAATATATTTTTTTTTTCCAAGTAGAGATCTCCAGCCGTGGTTTTTAACTACACAGTTACTGCCTCCAAGAACAAGGAGTGCCTCAGTTGGTGTCCATCAGAGTAGTGCCCAACCCACATTTTACTATCACCAGGTTAAAGGAGACTTCAGATTTATATTCCCTCAGAATCAAAACAAAATTGAACCACGTAGACAAGTTTCCAAGTAAGGAGTATTTGCTCCTGTTGCATGCAAGCGATATTCCTCTCACCAGCTTTATTTCACTGCCTGCATGGATGCAGAAGTCCTTTAATTTTTCTTCTCCTCCAAATACCACTACCCACTCTCAATTCCATAACGCTTGCAGAAAATGATTTTCAAATAAGCAACCATCATGAAATGCACTTCGTTTTTTTTTTCTGTTGTTCTTCACACACAGTTAAAAGTATAACCACGTGAGAGCAGGAGTCAGCCTGCTCAGCAGAGTTTCTGCCTAGAGTGCACTGCTATACACGTGCACAGAAAAAGTCTAGGTATCTAATTAGTAATCCAGAAACCAGAAAAATCATCAACATAATTTAATTGCAAAAAGTAAAAAAAGTAAATCCAATATGCCTAGAATTCAGATACTCACATATGCTGAAACGTTACAGATTGCATCCACAAATTAGTATGTAAAACCATCTCCATCATCTCTTACCTGTCATTTACGAGTGCAAAGCTAACAGCCGTGATTTGACAATCTAATGAGCCCCACATGCCACACAAAAATAAAAATAGCTCTTAACAAAACACATTTTAAAAGAGATTTAAACTTTTAAGTTACATTTACTACTGGCCTTAAGACAGCTCAGATAAGACTAAAAACCAGTAAAAATGCACAAAATCTCTCTAAACCTCTTCATAATTTCCAGCAAGTCCCTCTTCTCAGGAAGCAGAACTGAAGTAAACACAGTCTTCTGACACGCCTAGTAATGGTACTTAACCTCCTAGTTTGGGATTCTTCATTTTAAAACAGTATTTTGTGAAGGAGGAAAGCTACCTTTTTAGCTGTTTAACCCACACCTTCACTGTGGAGCCATAGTTGCCTGAATTGGTAGCATTTTTGGAGAGGAGTGTCCTTTAAATATCAGGCAACTGCAATTGCCTAGAGGAGCAACACAACCAGAAGAAGCTCGTTCCAGAGTTATTCCAGAACTTATATAGCATCCCCTTCCATATTTATGACTGATTTCATGCATTTATAGGATACAAGAACTGCCCTCTTGAGTGACAAAAGTCGCTCTTCAGGCCATCTCTATACCCTGCGTACCCTGTGCACCTTGAGTTAATACATGAAGGAATTCAGTTATTCCCTCCAAAGAAGGAGGAGAAATAGCGTTAAACAGAACATTACTCCAGGCTTTCTGTACTGCTGTATCTTACAAACAGCAAATAATGGCTGGTCAGCTTTTTTTTCTTTCTTTTAAGCAGACTCTGTTTTAAGTTAAACCTATGCACATAAGACCAAGCCCTTCTCTGACTGCATGCGCGCATAGCCAATATGGAGAGAAGAGGAGAAACTTTTTTCTGTTCTTGCTTTAACAAGGTCACAAAAAGTGGCTATGAAAACTTTCCTGAGCGCTTCTGGGATCACCAGAACAGGGAAAGCAGGTAGCAAGGACACAAGCACTAGGTGACTAGCATATGAAGCAGGCCTTGAGAAGAGCTCTTCAGGAGCACCTCAGCAGTATGAATGTAAGATACATAGACCTTGTGTTTCCTCTGTTCTGTACATGTTCTACAAGCACCCTTTTATGTATTGCAAAGCCATACCAGACACTAAATAGGCTTTTAGAGATGGTGTAAATATTTTAGCAGAAAGCTCACATGTGAAAAATTATTCTGAGGCTGGCATCTAAATTTGTAGAACTTCACAGAAATCCACTTACAAATTTACACTAGTTTTTGGACCCACACCCACAAGTCTTTACTAATAAAAGTAAACCAGCTGACACCCAAGCAACAACTTGAGTGGGCATTTGGCCAGATTTCTGAGAACAAGCCCAGATTTCTGTGAACAAGCTCTGAGAACATACTTCTTTAACACACGGGTCTCAAAAGATTGCACCAAAGGTTGCTTCATTTCCACCCTGGAAGAGGCCCAAAGCTGGATTTTCCATCTCTGTGGGGTTTTCTGTTTGGAAGCACATACATGAGTGGTACAGGATAGCACTGGATGATCTCTGCTTCACTGTGAATTCTCCAACTAATTCTGTCATAAGCCTGGCAGAAGCCAACTGTCTTGTGCCTCACCTTGTTCTACAAAACTATTCTGGGCCATCAATACTAGGATCAGAGAAAAAGCAAGGTGCCCCCAAACCACTGCCTCCTCAAGGTTCATCGCTGAGCTGAGGGACCAAGACCTGGCTCTGGATACAGAGAGCAAACACTGCTCATCCCATCACTTGACAACTGTGCATCACAGGTCACAAGTAAAGATGACTTTTATTGTTAATGATTCTTTCCACTTTCTTACTGCTACCATAGTTAAATGTTTTAGAAAAAAAAAAAAGTACTTTTGGCAAATCATCAAAATCTTATTAGATTTTACATCTTAGCAACACAATTCGGAGAAAACTTCAGGAAAAGTAGAGCTTAGCAGATGGCTGAAAGCAAAGCTATGTAAGAAGACATTTAAACTTACTATTAATACATTTCACATCCCATTGTAACTTTCTCCTCAGAAAAGCACTACATGAATACATTGTATTATGCAAGAGCCTGGTAGATTTCTGTACAGCAGTCTTCACACAGCCCTCCATGGCATAAAACTCCTGTGTGTATTTTCTAATTAGTAGGGCATTAGGAGAGCTGTGGAGAATATTTGGACTGATGGGTCCTAACAGCAGGAACTGGCTGTCAGATGTGGCCTTGAAGCATAAACAATAAACAAGACATGCTTGACCTTGTGCATTTAAAATATTAAGTCCCCAGGATCAGTCCTATTACGGATTACAGCGTTTTGAAGAGTAGGTTTAATGAAATGTAGCACTGACTAAGTTAATGGAATTCCTACTTCTAATTCATGCAGTGCGAGATGTAATTTAAAGCTAAGCTAGCATACCCCAAAGCTAGTAACCCAACTGTAGCATAAACAAGAGCAAGAGATGAAGAGCAGCAAGGGAGGCAACTCCCTTGGCAAGTACCTCTCAACGTGCATTTGGAGTGAAAGATTTCAGTGAGTGAAAGCAAGGGGTTTTAACCATGGTCTGCAAGAGGCAGCAGCATTACATCGCTGCACAGCAGGTGCTGCAGAGGTAAGCATTCTTCAATGTACCAATTTTACTAAAACCATACTTTCTGAGTTGATTTCAGTAGAAATTTTACCACCTTACCAAATCATTATCTTATACATTCTAAACACTTCTTTGAGAAGCTGCTGGGGATAACAGCTTTATAGAGCTTGTGCTCGTGCTCACTGTGCCCAGTCAGTGCAACATACTTCTAACGAGCTTTCCTAATTATAGTTATATACATGTATCAAGTTGTTTAAAAATAATTTTAGCTTCCATGTTTTAAGTGGCTTGAAATACAATACCAATCAAGGATCAAGAAAATTAAGAGTATCTGCATTTTCTTGATGAGTCACTGAAATTCTAACAACGAGGAGATTTGAGGTTCCCTTCAGGAAAGCAATTTTATCAACCTCTCACCTTTTGGCCAGAGGAGAAGCACTTCACCCTACTTGACTAAGTGCTTTTTCACTCCCTAGAGATCAGCTAGTAATGGTATGTACAAAGCTTTAGGCAACCAAGGCTCTCACCTTTTTCATCTGTGACTCATGACTGTCTAATACAGTAATAGCACCGAGGAAAGACTCTTGAGCAAGATGGAGGGATTTAGCTTCAGGAATAGCTTTAATGGAAGCTACACAAGTCCTCTCCATATTTCACACTGAAACGTGTCCTGCAGCGCATGCTGTGATAAAACTTGTTAGTCACTCATTATCCTAGTATGCACACTAGAACACTTTTTTTTCTCCCCTTTGTTTTTTGGTTGGCTTTTGGTCCATTTAAAAATAAGCTTACTACACCACATCTGATCATCTTGCCCAATCTATAGATAGGATCAATTCTAAAGAGAAGTGTGTTATGCAGGCTTAATAAATTCCAGCACTCTTAACACGTCTGTCCATTCATCATTGTTTAACCGGCAAATCCATTTAAAATTACTTTAAACTAGCAAAAAAAAAATGTTGACATCTTCAAGACAGACCTTAGTTTTCCTCAGAATATGAAGCCAAAAAAAAAAAAAAAAAAAAAAAACCTACTTCTGCTACTTGCTACTTTCTTTCCTAAGGCATCCTTTTCCATCTCCAATTCCTGAGGAAGCAAGTCAGCCGTACCTGAGAAGAAAGCTTGAACCAACTTCCAGAGATTTTCTTGAAATAATTAGGTTTGCAGGAAACGAGCACAAAAAACTTGCTATGTTGGGCTGTATTCCCTTGCCAAGGCCGCTTTTCACACCCCTCACAGTCAGTAAACTAAAAAATATCACTGGAAATACGACACGATGAAATCCACTGGCAATCATGACAGAAGATAAAACTCGGTTCTTTCATCTCCAATTTTTGAATGAGACCCACAAAACCCCTTCCTTTCACATTCTAGTTAGTGCTCTTCCTAGCTAATATTAGATACAGAAACAAGGTAATTGCTTTTTGATTAGTTGGTCGCAATTTGCTGTGGAGAGATTTTTATGACACATTTCAAGGCCCACCAGGTGACCCTGAGAGGTCAGTGTGCAAGCCTCATCCCAACCATTGTGCCTGCACTAGTCCTGCAGATGCC